TAATTTTGCCAAACTTTTACCATTAAAATGGTCACCTTTCAGGAATTTTGAATCTGATGGTCAAATAAGTAAATGTGTGCATTCGCGACAAGATATATATTACAGATATGAAGTTTTAACATTACAATGATCGCTTTGAATGTGATCAGCCAAGATATGTCTAAGATACAGGTCCGTATACAGACAAAGGTTTATCCATAAGTCCTAATTTTCATTCAAATCACTTGAAAACCTGTGGGTGTATAATACACATAAAGGCCCTCACTTTCAAAAAATCAAAACTTACGTTTTCTTCATTTGTATTTTCTCAGCATGTCGTTTCTTATTGTAGAGTTTAGCCCTGCAAAAAATTACAATAAAGAGCATAACATTGTGACAAGATGGTAAACATCTACACACAAACAAGTGGTTTTGGTTCTGTGGAGAGGAATGCTCAAAACAATCTCAATTAAGAAATCAATAACTTTTTTTAATAGTCAAAGCAGTACATGCAATTTTCATAGCTGTATACACTGAGTGAAATTAGAAGTTGCCCAATGATATTGGCAAACTAGTTAATCACTAAAATTTAATGATTGATTTGATAGAATGCATAAAATCTTACTTCAGTCCAGTCAATAATTTGGCTTTTCTTGCCCTCTTGTGAGGTTCTCGACTTTCTTTCTTCCTCCTGTTAAATAGAAAATTTATTAAAAATAGAATAACAATAAATAAATTGATAAATAAACATTTCATGATATACATTTGTACAACAAGCTTCTGCTGATATTCAGGTACAGGTATCAAACAAAGTAATAAATAAATTTTTAAAATAATCATTACACCAACACCCTTCTGACATTTTTTTCAAAGCGTAGTTTATTATAACAACTTTTTTCTAGAATCATGTGCAGGGTTCTCCACGAGGGGTTTTTACAGGGCGCCGCGCCCTGTTATCTGAAATTGGCGCCCTGTTTAAATTGTCAGCGCCCTGTTATATTTCCTGTGCGCCCTGCATGGTCCCATACAAAGAATTGTTTACAAAACAGGCCAACACTCA